GCAGTGCTGTCGCTCATCATGGTGCGGCTCAGCTGCGCATTCCTTCCAGCTCCCGCTTGATCAGGTGTGGCTCGCATGCGCAGCAACTGTAAGGCCAGAGCCGGCAGCCTCCCGCGGAGAACATGCAGAGTGGTTCACCCTGCAGACTGAAGTATTGCGCACGGGCGCCGGCACAGCATCTACACACAGCACATTTGCAGAGTGACTGTCACGTGAGTAGTAAACGAAGACCCCAGTTGCAAACTGGTAAACACGAAACGAAAGGTGTCTAGCTCGCGATTCATGACATAACCGGCAGAGTCGGTGACGAAAGGGGCTGCGAAAGAGCCACCCATCCAGGGTTGCCCGCAGGCTCTACCCGCAACATATTCATAGAGCGTTGTCCTGCTGGTTTGCCGTCCTGTGCTGCCTTGCATCTTGTCAGATGCAGGAGGGACGTCTCTAGGAGGAGGGCGTGTCAGTGAGGAGATGACTGAAACTCCTGGCACCGAACGGCGTATGAGACGGTGTGACACGGACGAAGTCGGGGAGCTGTGTGGGGCAACGACACGACGAGACTGCAGTGAATAGCTTGCAGGACCCAGCCAACGAAAACCCTACCTATCACCATGTTGGCTGGTGCTGCTGGCAAACCTGCAACACGAAGCAAGCCAGAGGCCTTTTGAATTCTGACTAGAATGACGCGATACAGGTTTTCACTTCGCGGACGGTGCCGAGTGCTCTGACGCTGTGCAGGAAGCTCTGTCCCCTGTCGGACTGCTCCAGATCAAGCTTTGGTCAGCAGCTTCGACGCGTGCAAGCATCATCCGAAATCTCAGCGCAATCGCCTGGTGATGGAGACTACGAACCCAAGCTCTCACGCTTCTGGCACAGGTGCACAGGTTACTTTCCCTTTCTTGATGCAGGCAAAACGGAGAATCTCATCATGCCCACTGGGCAAACTTGTGTTGCCATGCGGGCTATTTACTCCCTCTCGGCCTATGATCTGGTTTAACTACCTGCCTCGCAACCTGAAACATCGCGGAAGGTTCAATTGCACTGAGCTGTGCACAACATGTACAGCGTGAGACGAGATGCGTGCGGAGCTATCACAGACGGCGATTGCCTTGAAGAGACTGAGGCCACGCTGGGATGACGATTGAGAGAGGAGGTACGACACCCAAGCAGTGGTGAGACAAATCCCTGCACAGGCGGGTGGGTGCTGTCTATGGCAAAGCCCATTGCATTTCGTCCGAAGGTGGTGTCAAACGTTCAGGATGCCGTTAATCGGAAATTGCCATGCACCGTCCTAAGCTCTGCATGGTTCTTTACATGCCAGTCTGCAGAGCAGCAGAGATTGAGGGCACAACATGCAAATGCCGCTCGCCGCGCAGTTGCTAAGAAGATGACATAAGATGCACGAGATATGGTGCGTTTTGAAGCGACAGGCAACAGGCACCACGAGCCGCAATTGTTTCGGGGGGGCAGTTGCTGCCAAGCTGGGGTGACGCTGTAGAGGCAGACTCCGTCGGGGCGGGCCCGCACTGGTTTGGGCTGTCAAAGGTGCTGAGGCTACGGGCAGGTAGCTCCAGAGGTGAATGGTACTCTCATGCGTCTGGCAGTGGACGCTGGCTCGCCGAGAACACCTTCCAGCAGTGTCTGCGTTCCCACATGCTTGGACCAGGACTGAGACTGCGGAGTGATCTTAGGAGTGCAAGATGTCGATCTCGAATGTCACTCGGGAATGCGATTTGCTGGCGGCTTTGTCTGCACCTCTGTGAGCTAGCCCAACAAAATGCTGCTGCACAGCTCGTCTTCGTAAAGACGCAGGGGCATGCCAGATGGAGGTGGCTGTGGAGCTCTGATGTCCGGGTCGCAATGCTGCGTCGCATCCCCTGAAGCAAAAGCCTGTGTACCTTCAGACGGCTACTCAGGCGAGAACGGAATTGGCGCACACCGCGGTTTCGGGGTCCTGGGCATTTCTGCACGAGGCTCAGGCGTGGCAGAAAAAGCTCAGGCTGCTCATTTGTTGTGCTTTGCTTTCGATGCGGTGCAGCCGTAAACATCCAAAGTGAGGGCTGCATGGGAAAATGGCTTGGCCACCACATTGCCTTGGCAGCGCATCTCTATCAAATGGGCCAGGCGGGTCCGCTCTGAAGCCTAACGATCGACGGTCAGCCGCTGCACAAGCGGCAAGCAGGCATGACTCAGGCATGACGGACGTGCGAAGGACAAAACTGCTGTCGGAGACCTCAGGTCAGCCGGGAGTAGCACATTACAATTCCTTCCCATCTACGAGTCACGACGACGAATCTGCCAGGACCAACCAACTGTTTGCCCGAACTGCAACATTGGGAAAAAGTTGGTGACACGAGCAGGGTTTTTCGAACTCGAACCCTTGACAGCTTGAAAACATCCAATGGAGGCGGAGAGTGGAGAGTTTGAATGAACTCTTTTGAACTGCCTTAAGGCTTCGAGTCGAGTTGGAAACTGAGCTTGACTTCGGAGTTTGAAGGTTCGAACGGTACTCGTGTAGCTCGAAAGTTTGAAGTCGCAGCGTGCGCCGGGCGAGGGGCGCGAGGTGGCATCTCCCAGGCTCGAGTTTCAAGTTTGAGAGGTTGGAGTGTAAAAGCTTGAAACCAAGGGAGTTTGAAAGCTTGAACGTTCGAAGGCTTCAGTTGCTGACTCATTGACGGGGGACGGATGACGGATGCGTCCTAGCAGTGCTGCTCGTCAAGTATGTCTATATCCCCAAACGTTTATTTATGAGCTTCAGGCGGCTTCAGAGGTTTTAGTTTTAGGCTCAGGTTTAAGGATTTATGAGAACCCCGAAGTCTGCCTCCGAAGAGCATGACATAGGGGCCTCAATAGTTGCAAAGGTCTGCATTAGCAACGTCCCCTCAGGGGGGTGCATGTCGGAATCTTTGGAATTCTCAAACAAACTTTCGAGCTCGAAGGTCCGCGGACTTTCGAACTTTCGGATTCGACGCGTTTCAACCACTCATACCTCTGAAACTTTCAATCCACCTAAATCTGAAACTCGCGAGCGTTCATGCCGTTCAAGCGTTCGAGCTCTCAATTTTTTCGATCTTTCGGACTCCAAATCTTCAATGACTAAATCTTTCGAAGTATCAAACACTCGACCTCAGCGGCCAGCCGCGGACCGAACCTGAAGCCAGCCTTTCAAACTCCAATCTCAAACTTGCAGACTCTCGAACTTCTTAACTCTGAAACTGTGAAACTGTCAATCTCGTCGAGACTCTCAAACCTGCCAAGCCTTCGAAATTTCATCAAACTTTCAAGTTTTCAAATTCTCAAACCTCGACTGCGTCAACAGTTTTTGAAGTCTGAGTTCAAAGCAGCCATTGAAGAAATGATTTTCGAGTTCGAACTTTGAGGCCCGCTCGCTTGTGCAGACCCAGGTGCCTCCCCCCAACTTTCGAACTGCAACGCCTTTCAAACCTGCGAACCTTCAAAGCTTGAAACTGTCAGTCTTCAATCTTTCAAGCTTTCAAAAAATGAAACCTTCGAGTTCGAACGACCTCGCTCGGACGCCGTTCCGAGATCTTGGCGGACACGGTCACGCGCATGTGTAGTCGTTGCTTCGAGGCCTCTGAACCACCGGGCGATGAAACGTTGTGTCTGAAGTTTACTTTCCCTACCACGGTTTGTATCCAGAGCCGCTTAGCCGCTACAGCGGCACGAACCCATTCCGAGCTGGGATGCAACCCTAATTGCCCGATGTCTCTGCAAGGCTTTGCAGGACCTGCATGCCTGTGCGAACGAACAGCGAAATGGAAAGCCTTCAACTCCAAAAGCCGCCAAGTCGCTGCCTCCCTATTTCTCCACGGAAAGTCATCAGCCTCGCAGAGATGCAGGCGTGGAGTCGGGCTCGGGCTCCAATGTTTATCTTCATGCGATTCGGATTATGGGCTTGCTGCAGATGGCATGCGCCACCATCCGGTGGGTGCTCGGAAGACAAGCGCAATCGTCGAAGCTGTGGGGTTACGCGAGGCTGAGCAGGCTCCGGACTTGCCATCTCGAAGCAACTACGTCCCAAACGGGTTCCGCCTGAAATGAGTCAGGAGCCGCGTCGCTCGTAAGGGAACCAGAAGCCAAGCTGGAACCAAAGCGGGCACCGGCGGATGGCAGAGTTTGAAGTGTTGGGTTTGGGGGTGTACTCCAGTCAATCTTTCGAGGCAGAACATCGGCACAATTCTTCAACCAAGACACGGTGCAGAAGTGAACTTTCTGGGGTTGAGGGGCTAGGGAATGAAGCATCCTGCTAGTTCTTTCGACAATCCCCCGAACCCGAAGCCGCGAGCTCCTAACTGCTTCAAGATCCACATTGATATTCACCGTTCTGCGGCAGAACATGAGCAAAGGGTGTAGGCTTTTTTTGACAGCTTGTCATGAGTCCGAGTCAACACGGACATCTTAGTCTCCAACAGGTACACCTTTTCGTAGTCAATGCCATTCCATGCTAGATGCCAGCCCTGACAAAGCAGCTAGCAAAAAAGCCTTCAAACTCGCTTTTGCGCTCTGACAAAGCTGCTAAACTGCTAAACCCTGAATCCTCACACGAACCCATCCATAGTGAACCTGGTGATCGATGATGCCAGCCTTTATATATCGCTCAAGGGTGCTGCCACCAGACACAGGAGCCGAGTCTCTTTGTCTTCTGATCCGCTGCAGACAAGAAGTCATCAAGTGGATCTAGGGGTGAAGACCGTTGCATTTGCTACAGCCACCTAGCGGTCCAAGCCCGACCAGGATCAAGACATATTAGCAAACAACAAAGACACTGCACAGCATAACGCATCAATTCTAGGATCGAGCATAAATCAACATACACGGAGACAGAAGGCTGTCGAAAGGCTCAAAGGCACCAGGACGATACTCTTCTGCGTATTCCCTCGTCCACATTGTCCTGTCGAACACTTGTCGATCACAGTTTGAGCTTGGGTTCCCGCGCTGGGGGCTTCAGCTTGGATGTCACAGACCAAGTCCTTGTGCATTGCTCAGGGCCCTTCGGCGCCTGTGTGAAGTCCAAAGCTGCCAAAGCTCTAAGTTGGTATGATGAGGCAGGCAAGCTCGATCAGAAAAGCCGTATTCCCTGCCTTGGCTGTCAACGACCATTGCTCGCCCATTGCCTTCCGCAGATTACAGGAAGTCTACAAACCTAAACCATCAGAAAAAGCTACAATGGGCCGATCTCAGCTGGTTCGGATGGGAGTTTGTGTTGCCGACTTGATCCTCAGAACAGCCGCCTTCAGACTCCTCGGTCTTTTGCTTTTTTGTGGCGGGCCTTGGATCAAGGCAACGCAGAATCTGCCGAACGACCGCAGGTCACGTTGCTTCCGACATACACGACAATCATGAGTGTACCAAGGCGTTTCCACCCAGTCTGAGAACACGGCTCTGACACTGTCTCCACTTCTTCTGCAGTCGTGCTTGGTGCTGTGACTGCCGCAGAGGAGCCCGCTTCGGCCGCATTTGCGGAAATCTTCGGAACTGGTCCGGGGTCTACTGGGACCGCGGCATCCGCCAACTCACCCGACGGTTCTGTGCTGTTGTTTCGTGGTGTTGGAGTTGCATCTGGTGCCGAAACGGCATGTGGTGCTTCCGAAACGGCACTTCCCGACACCGGTGCGTCCAATACAGATGCGGCGCCCGTTATCCCAATCTCTGGGGTTGGTGCCTCTACCGGGACGGCATCTGAAGTTGCGGTACCATCTTCGGCAGCCACCGGAATTGCTGCAACCGGCACGGGCACCTCAGGGCTGCATCTTGAGCATTCCTTCTTTTCATGGGACGTCCGGGCCACGAACCGCACCAGGAGCCTGTGCCTGGACACCAAGAATTTAGAAGCAAAACACAAAACCTGCACAAGATCCGAGGCTCCGGGCATTGAGCACTTGTGGCTTGCCATCCTCTGTCATGCCCAGCTCAAAGTAGATCATCTGCCACGAACGACCCGAAACGAAAAGCATGGATAGAAGAAGCTTGTAAGCTGAATGCGGAATTTGAACTCGTCTGCGCGTCTCCATATTTGTTCGTCCCCGAGGCTGAACGAAGTCTCCCTAAGCGCACCAAATTGCTCGCGTGCTTTTATCTGGAATCGTTTACCCAACTCTTCCAACGCACGTGCTGCCTAGCCCGTCATATTTGCTAATTTCTCCATTGTGCATCGGAACGCGTGTAGTGTAGGCATTTGAACGAGGACGGAATATGCCTACGTACAGCAGTACCCACTGCAAGCTCATAAGCTATGCTTAGCAGCCAGAATGCAAACGCAGCTTTTACTTGAGCCACGCGCACAGTTGTACATAAAGCCAGCTACATCTTCTACGAACGACAGGGTGTTTTATGCCGGGTTTCGGTGTTCGGGTGTTCGGGGGGATCCTAGCGTTCCGTGTGTTCCGCGTGTTCTGGGTGTTCCAAGTGTCCGGGTGTTCTGGCCTTGTGTTCCGGCCGGGCGTTCCAGTGTTCGGGGAGTTCCTGGCGTTCCGGGCGTTCGGTTCCGGTTGTTTCGGGAGGGATCGAGTGGGTGTCCAGGTTGCGTGTTTGGGTGTCCCGGGTGTTGCGGATTTCGGGTCTTCCGGTGTGTTCCGGGTGTTCCGGTGTCCCCCGTTCCGAGTGTTGCCCGGGTGTTGTTCCGACTGAGGACGGTTCCGGGTCCGGGTGTTCCGAATCCAGTATTCCGGGTTGGCGGGGGTTCCAGATGAAGTATTTTGTGGAGGCCGAGAAAGCGGAGGAGTCCACGCAGGAGGAAAGAGGAGGCACGGCGGTCTGATCGGCAAGGACGGCATGGACGCGTGCCTGAGATTCAGCCGGTCCTTCCAACAGTGGAGCCCGAGAAGCCAGGATACAATCGGCTGCTACAGCTCCAAAGAGTATCTCTCCAACAAATAAATCCCAAAAGGAAGCTGGCAAGGAGAGCGCCGGCCCCCGGACCACAGTAGAAAGGACAGTCGAGGCCCCAGAGGTTTGTTGAGGCTCCTTGGTGGGCAAGCTTCAGGACCTCAAGGGCCTGCTTAAGGACCATCAGAAGCCTGACCACAACCTGTAGAGCTTTCGTTCCATGACAGAAACATCGAAAATCTGCTCAGCTCCAGGACGGCGCAGACACCGACGGCAAGCCAAACGGTGACGAATAACAACAGCAGTGATATCAGCATGAGTGCTAAGACTACGACTGCTCATCTGAGAATTCACATTAGACTGCTGGACGATGCTGCGTGGGATAATGATCGAGACCGGCAAATACCCCATCAACAGCACATAAAAATGCTCGTTGCGGATATCTAGGCCTCCAGTTAAGGGCATGCCCATCTCCAACACCAATACGATATCGGTAGTGATATTGCTGTTGCCATTGCTATTGATATTGAGATCGATTTATGTCGATATCATCATCAGTACTATAGAGATTGAGATTGGTCGGAGCATTAGCAGTGTGTGTGTGTGTAGATTGTGTCAGCAACCATCAGCGACGCGAAACAGATTGCTCGTGCAAGCTCCTCAGCTGAGCTGGAAGTAAAACCGCAACAGATCAGGCTAGTATAGGGATGCGTAGAAGACTGTCCAAACCTGCATATGAAACCTGCAGAAACCCAAAACCCTGAAGACAGACACAGGCCGTGCCTCGCCGACTGCCTGCACATCTATCGTTTCTGGGTTTAGGTGCGTCTTATTATTTCAGACAGCTTTTTCATAAGTTGCAAAAACATTTACTCGGCCTTTGAAGAGCCAGCGTGATGAAAACAGCAACTCAACTTACCATACATGATATGTCTGTAATGCTAACTTACTATTATATGTCATGACTATGATGATGCTGACCTACCTTAGCAAGAACCCCGGCTTTCATGGCAACCGAACAAGGCACGATGCACAGTCAGCAAAGCCTTGACTGGCACGTTGACAAGCTCCCGATTGTGGGCAAACACGTCCGAGCCAAACCTCCGGCAAGAAACAGGCACGGATGCGCACGCGTCCGGTGCTCATCCCTCACATCGGAAGCCTGGCCCGCAGCTCATCGGATCCGACGAAGCCCCAGCCTGCAGCAAGGAACTCTGTCGAGTGGAAGACTTGGAGTGAGAAGGAAGGACTGCGCGCTCACCACATGCATGTGTCTGCACCAATCGAGCACACTGATAGAGGCTGGTGAAGATTTTGATGCCGAGGTCCCATCCGTTTGCTTCATTGTATGTCTTGAACTCAGCAGTGAAGAACTCGCCGGTCGCCTGAGGCCTCGTCTGTCGAGCTCTGGGATTTCGGGCCGGTGCCATACAGACCAAACGGAAGCTTGTTCTGGTCTTCTCGACCCCGTGGTGCAAGCACAGACCGTTGAGTGGCGAGTCGATCTCAACATCTAGTTACCTGTGACGTGGCAAGCAGCACGAAAAAAACAATGCCGTGACCGAGCAAGCCGATTGAAACACAGGTGGTTCAGGTGGTGATCTGCATGTACCAACATGAATAGCCAGTCAAGCCTTGGGGTTCACCAGACGGCACTGTTCGGGCGAACTTTGAGAGTTTCCAGACCGACTTTCTGCTGTGATGACTGGGTTTGCCACACGTTGGCGGCCGCTGGGGGCCAGACGTGCCACCCCGGCGAGAACCAGACATGTGGACACCAGCAATGGCACCTGGCTCAGCTCCAGAGGGGAAAGGGCAAGTCTGGGCACCACAGCAGCTGATAGTACGATGGGAGCCGCTGCTTGCCAACAGCAGCTCGACCCGAGTTGCGATCGTGGGAGTCATGAGACGTGAAAACCGAGTCTACATCGACCAATCAGCGATGTGGACATATCAACACCAGCCACCCGTACTCGACTCCCACGAAGGCGGCACGTCTGGTGCATCCTCAGCTTCGAGAGCTTCAGGGGTACCAGAAGAAGAGTAGTACAACGGATGGACATCTGAGACTCAGCCTTCGTCTCGCTCAAGTCGCCCGGGCTGGGCTCCCATTCATCGTCCACCAGAGCCACCTCCGTGACGTTCGGCCTGGGTGTGGAACGACACCACAGCAAACAAAAGGTCAACGAGTGCGGGGCATCATGTCTCTGTTCAGCTTCACATTGAAGCTTACCCTGGCAGAAGCTGTAGTTGCAGCATGCTGTTTCAGGAACACCGGTGCTTGATAAAGCAGATGAGTTCCACAACCCGGCAAACTAGCAGGGCTGTCTGCTGCCCCGTCTGAAGACCCGCGGCGAACTCCTCGCAGCGCAATCAAGCAACAGCGAAAGCTCAGCACTACGGCACCCTAAGTAAGGTATGCTACTGGTTGCACACACACACACACACACACACAGTTTGACACACGTCCGCATCATTGAATCAGCTCGCGGCCAATCACGGAAATAGTCGTGTGCGCGAGTGCTCACCTTTTTGTCCGTGGCCCCTTTCACGTTATGGCCCTGTGCAGCCCGTCCTTGTTAACGTACACGTCCCTGCCAAAGTATTCTTTGGCATCTGGGCAGTCGATGAAGCCGAAACCCTCGAAAAGCAAGCAAATTGTTTCGAGACAAAAAACGAAAGCCTGGGAAAGCATCCGCTTTCAGACACGACGAGCGCTAGGCCACCTTGTCAGCCTCGGCTGCCTTGAAAGTGCCTCTGCAAAGTTGTAACAACTTGATGGTTGCTACGTCCTATGAACCAACCGAGCTGCGACGGCTCACAAGACATGAATCATGGAAAAAGCCTGACTCTCTCTTTCCCCTCCATGACAGCGATACTCAGAGGGCACACCTTTCAGGGCCATGCCATTCATGGCGGCAATTCTCAGCAGCCTCGAATGGTGGGCTTCAGACCACTTGCTTTGCAGACATGTCCGAGAGATCAGCCGATGCCACAACACAAAACCGTGAACGCCCACGATCTCTCTGAATCCCGGGCTCATAAGAGGCTTGTGGTTGCCCCCAGCTTGACCTCGGCTCATTGGCTACAGAAATTCAGGTGATCGAGATGATGCGGCAAGACAGAAAAGCGGCAAATCCAGACATTCGACCTTTTGTCCTGTGTGGAGGTGTGACCGCAAATCATGGAACGCTTACATATGCCCGTCGGATGTGAGCAGGAGGTCGCGGAGCCTTTGGCTGTTCGTCGTGAAACAAGTGAGCCTGGGACCTCGAGCTGTAGTCCATACAATAGCTACGTCCCGCCGGGTTTCCTGGAGCTGCAGCAAGGGAATCTTTATGCCGGCTCTTCCTCCGGGTGGAGAGGTTCCGCTGCTGCCGGCAATGCTCGCCACGGCACCTACTTGGGTTGCCCCTGTCAGTGACTGGCATGGCCTGGCATGTGAACGCAACTGGATCTCAGGACTTTTCACCAGTCGCTGGAAATCGGCCTTGAGAAGGCGGTCCAGTGGACGCGGAAAGTGGGCGGCCGTTTCACGTGCACGAAAAGCTTGGAATTCTCATTCCCCATTGTCAACCGCTTTCGCCTGGTACCTGCAGTACTCACACTAAAGTTCTGGTCACCAATGACGGCAGTGTTGTTAGCACCTGCCCGGCACATAAGCTCAAGACTATGCCACAATGCTGGATCCTCCGTCAAACACCAGCAGCATTAGTCTTGTCAGGGTCAATGGGTTGGAGGCTGGTTACTGGCAGGGAACTTGAAGCTGCCGCACACGTAGACAACTGACAACTTGCATCAACGTGCTATGATGCATTGGTTCATGCCGAAATGATGCAAGGCGTTTTGGCTTGGTCAAGTGGGACTGCCTATTGGTATCAAGGCAAGAGTGGAAAAGTTGCATGCATGTTTTCTGGGACTCTTGTGAGCTGCACACCTATGCGACTCACACTCAGCCGGAGTAGCCGAAGCCATATTCATTGTCCCATCGACGCCAGCATTTCAAGGAGGGGAGAATGCCGGCTATGAAGCAGTGTTCCCCATGATTCATCGTCCATGCAACACCGTTATCCCGCATGGTGCGATGCACTAACGTCGGTATGCCATCCTGCTTCCATTAGAGTTGAGGCCAAACTGGAGGGATGCAGTGCCAGGACTACAGCAGGGTGCGTCGAGGTCCTTGTGTGCACATCGGTCCGGAAGCCCGTCAGAGTGAGGCTGTGCAACGTTGGAAGGTTCGAACCACATCCTGCAGGAGTGGTATACCCCATCCATTGGAGTGTGGAGTGGCTGTCTGCCCACATCCGCTTGGGAGTGCTCTGAAAAGCCTTGTCATGTGAAAAACATGATCCTGCAACAATGAATGATTTGTAACGACAACGAGTCATCGCCAAACCTACCTCGGGTTCTGCTGTTTGGGTACAATACTGCCGCATGGCAGATCCGGTGAAAAAATCAGACTAGAGGACAATTGGCCCGAAAGCATCATTACCGAAGAGTTTTGCGCTATGTTATAGAATCCAGTGCATAGAACCATAGAGTCATAGAGTGAAGTGCATCTAATTATGAAGTACACAGTAATGCCGAGACCGATGTATTTGAAATCCTGTCAGCTTGTGTCGGGACTAGGGGTTTTTGGTTCCAGGGGTTCTGGGTTTAACACTGCGGTTTAGGGCTTCTGGTTTCAAAGGGTTCTGGGTTTAGTGCTTCTGGGTTTCAAAGTTTCTGGGTGCAGGGCTTCTGGGTTTAGGGGTTTTTGGTTCCAGGGGTTCTGGGTTCAGCACTGCGGTTTAGGGTTTCTGGTTTCAAAGGGTTCTGGGTTTAGTGGGGTTCTGGGTTTAGCACTGCGGTTTAGGGCTTCTGGTTTCAAAGGGTTCTGGGTTTAGTGCTTCTGGGTTTCAAAGTTTCTGGGTGCAGGGCTTCTGGGTTTAGGGGTTTTTGGTTCCAGGGGTTCTGGGTTCAGCACTGCGGTTTAGGGTTTCTGGTTTCAAAGGGTTCTGGGTTTAGTGCTTCTGGGTTTCAAACTATTACTACTACAACTATTACTGCGTGGGGGATGATCTCGACTTGGTTGCTGCTCTCCCACCAGAGCTGTAATGAATGTAGGTGTGGCTGGCTAGCACTCTCCACAACTGGACCCTGTCTCTCCTCTACTTCCACACGTGCAATCCTATGCAGGCAGAACCGGCGGCCGTTCCTTTTGCACTCACTGCCGGCGGCGGTTCGTCTGTGCAACGGGATAGCTCCGATTGCTCAGGATAGAAGACACATATAGCACTTAGCTATGGGCATTGACTTGAGCCAAACGTTGCGTTGGCGGTCACATAGAAAGGTAAAGATGAGGGATGCGTAGCATGCCCCCTAGAGTCGAGGGACGCGTAGCGTGCCCCCTTCTCTTGCACTTTACACGGTCTTGCTCACAGCTCTTATAGTGACACCTTTGAACTTGACAAGGCATCGCAGTCCGTTCGCACCCCCCATGAGTTGCGTCTCCGACGCTGCTCACCCGGAAGATGGCACGATAGGACAGAAGAAAATTCCGCCGCAACGTTGACATTGAAAATCAGAGCTTTGTATCCCAATTAGAAACGTTGTGACACTCATCTACGTCAGTAACGATCCCCTGAAATGACAAACGAATCAGGCGTCACCAAAGAAAGAGGCATTCGCGATGGCATTCCACGAGCGAAGCTCAGAGGTCACGAACTGATAGGCGAGGAAGATCAGGCGTTGTCTCGCCACCATCTTCGCGTTGACGTAGGATCGCGGTCCCAGGGCCGGAGGTTCTCCTCTGGATACTGGTTCCTTGGCTTTCCTTTGTCCTTGCCTTTGTTTCGGCCTTTGGCGGCGATGTAGTCGTGGTAGGAATTGGTGTTCCAGCCACCATGTTGCTCGCCTCCGGTTCTTCCACGCCCTTTTGAAGGTCCCTTGGATGAAGAAGCGCTTTCACGTTCCTCCGTAGTGACAGGCGTGTCCAGGATGGATGTACCACCTGGAGGAAGATAGTCAGCGGCCGAAATGTGATGTAGGGCTTCCGTACGCTTTGTCGTCGGGTTTTGCTGTCTCTCAGTTTTGGATCTGTTCAATCTGTCCATGAAATGCGCAGGCATTTGCACACTGTGGTCCACCAGCAAGGCGATGGTCTGGACTGACTGGTCAGAATGAGTCAGCAGAATACCGACGGGGTCGATGTACAAGAAGTCCACTGGTCCAGTTGGCGTTGGTCGTAGCACTGAGAATTGTTGGTGTCCCGTCACCATTGGGATCACCTCGCATAGGACGTTCAGGCAACAAAAGTGCATAGCCTTTACATCTTCATCCCTGTCGCTCTTCAAGTAAGTAGTAGGGTTGAAGTTGTCCCTGCCAATTCCCATCATGTTGGCTCCCCGTACGAGTAAAGAAAGCATCTGGTTCGTCCGGAAGCGCTTCAAGGTGTAAGTCCCGTTGGGATCATACTGTTTGAGGTTCTCAGGTTCCTTTGCGAAGCGAATGATCTCCTCATCAGTCACGTCCCTGCTCACACCCGTTTCCTTATCCACTGCTGCCAAAGATCCCCACTTTCCAAGCACATCATAGCGTTGGCCAAGTGCGAAACTTTCCCTCATCTGAAACAACGGCATAGTCGCCCACTTTGCGAATCCTGACCAAGCTTTGTAGATGGATCTGCATACCACGTATGCCATGTACGACAGAGCGGTCATGTTCGCGTCAATGCAATGGGCATTTCGCTTTCCAGAATAGTAAGATGGCTGCATGGCGGTACGTGCAAGTTGTAGCTCAGGATCGATGTTCAAAGACTGGCCGGTAATGAAGACGGGACGACGTTCCTGTGCGATTGCTTCTGGAACTGCGTCATCAAAGTCCTCTTCAGGCTCGACGTCCATTTCTTCATCAGGTTCCTGTTCTGGATCGTCTTCCGCGACGACAGATGGTTCTGGGATTTCTTCAGGTTCCGCAACGGTCTCTACCTCCATGGCTTCCTGCTCCTCTTCGGGCGCCTCAGGCACTGCGGCTGCTGCGGCTTCCATTGTCTGAGCAATGAAGTCACTGGGGATCTCCGTAGGAGTCTCCCGTTGTGGAGAACCTTGGTAATATCCGCTCGAAATGAACTGTGACCAGCAAGACGTGCATCGGGAGAAACATGCTGGAACGATGTTGTAGCATGCCGGGCATACCCTCATTCTCCGTCCATCCTCGTCTCTGCGTAGGTCTTCGGGTCGCCAATTCTTGATGACAAACTTGATTCCTTTGTCCATGTAGTGATGCCGAACCGTGTTCTCCCTGTGGGACTCCAGGACAGTTGTGAGGTCACGAATGATCTGCTCCTTGCTTGTGTCGTGGGGTCCAGGAGGCATCTCGCAAAGCAATTCCATGATCTTGCTTGGCGTTCGGTATCTCTCGAACTCGGGAAGCAACGGTGATGCATTGTAGTCCAACACCAGCTCTTTCTCCAACCTTTCATCGTAGATCTTTTCCACCAGAGCGAAAGAGTGTGTATCTCGAGGATCAGGGACGCAAAACCATACCTCCTTGACGAAATGGAAAGGTATCGTTCGACCAACGATCATGATGCCGCTGTCTGTGATACGTCCATCCTCTCGTGCAAGATCTTGCGATGGGACATGAAGGACCGCCAATGGCATGTGCTTGGCGTCTCGTCCGTGTACTCGCATCTTGGTCGTTGCGTTCCGGTGATCGAACGGCGCAAACACCCCCCAATAGCTGTGGAGTCTGCCACCTTGGTTGCCTCGGAATTGGCGCCTATGGTCGAAGTCCCCGTCGGGGTCCTCCGAACCAGGCATGATGCCTTGCGTGACAATGGAATCCAAGTTGCGGCATGCCGTAGCGTGGAACGCACCTCCAAGACGTTGCAAGAGGGTCATAGATGGAGATATTGCGAACCTGTTCTTGTCCAACTGAAGCAAGTTGTTCTGGGGATCTGAATGCGCAGAGTGACCACTCGTAGCCCGAACTGCCCATGGCTTCACCCAGCCGTTGCATAGGTTCAGGTACCTCTGGCCATGCCGGCAATGGTCGTTGCTCTGGATCTCCGTGATCTGGTCCCGAACTGA